ATAGCAAAGTCCGTGGATGAATATGATACTCGCGATTATCAAGGTGGCTTGGAGGATAGAATGAACGGATGGGAAACTCGACTGTTTGGCAAAGAGTTCTCCATATCGCAATGCATAACTAGATTAACACAAACGCTGAAGTCCTACGATTCGAAATCCTTGGCATACACGATTCGGTTGTTCACTTCCATGGGTTGTATCCAATTTCGAAACAAGTGATCGACATAGTATCCTAACAAAGCAAGGAATGGATGATAGATGGAATCGATAACTCCACTAAATGACAAAGTCGTAACCTCTCGATTTGGGTGAGGCAGACAAAACACATCAATCTCTTCAAAGCATTTTCGAATCTTGTTTCGCGTTTCATTGAGATCATCTGCATCTCGAGGAGCTAAAAACTCTCGTTTATAAGTCTTCATTTCTTCTAGACAGGATTCTACATCTTCTTCATTCGAAAATGCTGAATAATCTCGCACCAGAAAATCAATATGACGAAATGGCGCTTTCTCCTTCCATTTCTTCACTTCACTGATCTTTAAACTATATTCTGAAAACATCGCTAAGTGCTGGAGCTGGTCTTCTTGTAACCGGTTTTGGACATTGTAAATTTGATAGGAAGAGAGGAGTGTCGATAAACCGAAAATACTCGTTGTCAACCCTTGACCTGTCTGCCCATCCCACATCCCCTGCGTGTCCATAAGGAGTACACACAGCTTTCCTCCAGCTGTGCTTGGATCAGGAATAATAAAGGGTTTACTCCAAAGCCAGATGCCCTCTGTTACCCTTTGATTTCCACCACCATAAGAAAACCCGTTTTCCCTTCTAGCACTGTTCAAGGACCCTTCTAAGATAGTTCCACCAAACTGCATCCAAGAAGAAACGGACCCTTGTGAGATGCGTTGTCCACCTACGAATAATAGTAATAGAAGAGAGTAAATACCTTCTAAGGCGTGAAGATAACGGAGAAAAAAGTTTAACAAAAAAGACTTACCGCTTCGAAAAGCTCCTACAATTGAAATAACGCTAAGCGGAGTATTATGTGGAATCTATGTCAAACCTGATTGAGTGGATATACCTGGGAGATCAGTTCATGCAACTGCTCTTTATTGATTGAAAAAACGTTGGATTGCCCCTCAGCAACAATGAACTACAAATATTAGGAATCGAGTTTAACTCACCTGGATAGGATGTTCATTGGATGAGACACTTCTTCGGAATCGACCTCGTTCGCTCATTATAAAAATATAAGGAATAGTAAAGATATTATATGTTTTGTGAAAGAGGGTTGCAATGGTTGTGTGCAATGGTTGCAAGTAACTAAGAACGGGGATAAAGGATACAGCAGAAATATGGAAGAAAAAGGAAAATTGGAATTTGTTAAATGAAAGAGCTGTTTTTTGTAGTTTTAGAATGTGATAGGAAAACGAATCGATTTAATATGAAAATGACATTGTGGTGAAATCGACAGAAATGCTGTAAATGATCGAAAATGCCATAACTTTGTAAATAGAACCAAGTGGAGCGAATTCTATTTTGAAAAGAAGTGCCATGAATGGATAATATAGGTAGTGTTGGTTGAAATAGTATTTACTCAGAAAGAATCGAGTTTACTACTTTTTGGGAAATGACCACCATAGTGTTAAATACTGTCTGTTTTATGTTTCTATTTTCTTATCGTTAGGTTCCTAGCACATATAGATTCAAAATAGATAGGAATATAGTTATTGTTTAAATAGAGTCCCTATAATTTATAACAAAAGAAGTGGTTAATGACTATATGGGTGTTTTGGATTAAATCTATTTCGGATCAAGAAACATGTATCAAAAGTATGGAGTATGCAGACAGCATAATACATCAATAATGGTGGTATTCATTATATAATAGATAAGCTTGAATAATGATAGATGAAGATAAATCGTTTTTAAAAGAGAATACTAAACAGAAAACAACTTGAAGGTATTTATCAGAGGTAAGTATTGATGTACATGACATTACGTAATAATCACTGCTCATAATGAAATTAGGGTTGACAAGCGGTGTAAAGTATTCCGATATTCGCGCAATGCAAATATAGTGGAAAATGGCACTTTTGTTGATAATCTATGTGGTTTATGCAGTTTTGATGATGGTAGATAGGAATATTCATTTTGTGCTATTTCAAAGAAACGTACGAGAATAAGGGAGATAACACTGAAGAAGACTGTATTTAGAAAAGCTACTGGTGTGTCTAGCCAAGATAATATAGGATTATTATGCTGTTGACACAAATGTGGGATAAGAATTGAAGGTTTGCATAAAAACTATTTCGTGTGATCATCAACAAATATGGGAAAGACATTTTGGATGTGGTGATGAGAATATTTACATTTGTTCATCATTGAATATGCAGCATTAGGAAGAAAACAAACAGGGCACTTACTTTCATTATTTGGGAATTATCAATGTAGTTAATGGAAGAGCTAATCATTGTTTTATAATTACCAAACAATGAGAGGTCAGCTTCATTGGAGTAGACTCGTTCACAAATCATCAAAACTAACAGGTAAAAGTAAAATCAATACCACGATTTTTGATGTATGTATTATTCGACTACACTGTATAATAAAACCTTGTCAACAACAGCAATGACGAAATATAAAGAGAACATTTCTATTCTCTTACATATTGTGACAGAGAATAGTATAGAAAATGGAATATACAAAAATTATATTATCAAAACACTAAAAATGGATTACGAAAATCTACAGATAATCAGTATACACTTGGAATGAGTCAAATTAGTAATTCAGTACGATTTATAAGAATATCCAATGTGACGAATGTAGCTCACTAGGATACCAATTCGATAAACTGCTATCACTATTGCATTTGTAATGACTGTGATATTAACAACTGATACTAATTGGTCAGAGGCCAGTTTGTACATTCATCCGAATATGATATTCTTAGGATATAGTGTATTCCAATCATCATTGCGATGGCTATAAAGATCAACACCCTATTATAGAAGAGTGAGTATTGATTTGAAATAATAAGAACGATAATTTCTAGAATTACTACATGAATATCATTCGTATTGTATTATGGAATGTAATACAACGAAATCTAAAAGCGAGTATGCTAAGAGAGGTGTAAATATGATGAATACTTTTGGACTTGTTTAGCTAATGTGTGTGAATTGATTTTAGTGGTCATTCTTTTAAACAGCTTAGATTATTAAAGAATAATCTATTATTCCAGCTATTAGAATAAATAAAAGGATAATTGAACGGATATTGTTAGATAGTTAGAGTCTTGGCAATAAAGAACTATCATACATTTAGTGATTTCACAGGTTATGCTGATTAGATTCAGTATTTGAAAGAGTATAAGGAAATGATTCATTGCATTTTTCTTATTATTGTGTCAATTACTTAAAACACTTAAGTCTACCAATTCCAAATATGCTTCAGAATTAACAAAAGCGATAAAAAAAAATTATCAAGCTATTTTAAAGATTATATAGACTCATAATAGTGTATTATCATTTGGATATTGATAAGTAATGTTAATATCTGTATAAATTTGTGTAAAGTCTAATAATAACATCTATTAGACATACAATAAAATAGAAATACGTGAATGGTTAGTAGATAATCTTGCTACAACGTAATGTGGTAACATCACTTCTATGCCTTTTGCATAGAGATTTGCTTTAAGAATTTTGATAAATAACATGGAAGGATATGAATCACCAATAAGCGTATTACATGCACAGAAACGATATGTAAGTAAAAGTTGTTATTGCTTGAAATTATCAATTCATATTACTATTGTGTATAAGAGTATTTTTATCAAATCAACATTAAGCTGGTTGCATAATACTATAGAATAATTGATAATGAAAAAACAGGGTAATTCAACATTTCTAATCAATAATCAAGCAGCTTGTAATATGCTCTTGATCAGTTTTATAGAATTGTAGTATAACATGGTACAAAGAATAAAACGCATACGGATGAATCTACAAACACATCTAAAAGGCTCAAATAACCATTTTTCAATTGTCTTGGGTTCTTTTGAATGATAGGGATCTTATATAGTATAATATATACATCTGTAACTGATTTGTGTGTTTTTGCAACAAAAAACAATAAATGACGTGAATAGAATGCAGAATAACATATTCTTGTTGGATTGTTTTTCATATTTTTGTTATTTGATCCGTGTAAAGGAGAGTAAATTGTTGAAATGTGATATGGTATGTCCCCAAATAGTAGTTTCATAAGTAACGAGTGGTTGTGGCTATTATAATTGTTTGCATTGAGAAAATCGATCTGTAAATGGAAATTCAAAATATGCTTGAAAAGCAACGCTTTCAGTTAAGAAGTCATCAAATAACAGTGAAGTTGTTTTATCAGTTATGTATAATTAGGTAACTACAATGAGACAAGTCAGAAATACAGACATTAAAATAATCAATGTTTAGAATTGAAAATAACAACCAAATAGACATACTTCATTAAAATTGTGTAGTCTGTGATTGTGAGTAGTGAAAAACGGATATAACACCTAACATAATGTGTATGATACACCAACAGATTGGGTACAGCACTTTACTATGAGACCTACTACTATACTGATTATGCAAAAGTCATTACAAATGTGCAAACAATTATGAATCACTGTTTGAAAAGAAAAGAAAAGAAACAGCAATCGCTATCATATCTTATTCATAACACAAAGAAAAAAGAGAATGAAAGACAGTACAAAAAGTGTGATTATGATGAACAAGTTTATTCGTTAGAGCATAACAAGAAAATTTAGTTAGTAATACATATATGACGTAAATCTGAAACAATAAGTATATCGAAATCAATGAACGGTTGGATGTGACCGAATTAATGTAGGAAATAGAATACAGGTATCATTGTGTTTCTTTCTAATAGGTTCGAGGTGAACAACGAACAGCGCACTTTTTCACTAACAATACAATAATAGAGTAATAATAGCTATAATAAGTGGTTATTAAATGTGAATATATCCGTTTGAATATGGAATAGATTCAGACAAAACTGATATTTGATTCATTTGTTGAAGTATGTTGTAGTCAGTATTAAAATGGTTTCCATAACACAATTTCCTTCTATCGTTTTTATACTATACTCTCTGTCTATCAATCTATCAATCCATCTGATTGTTGATTAATCTTCTATAAATATTGAACGATATAATACAAATCTTAACTACTTCCAAAATCAATAGTTTACTACATAATTCATTTCAAATATGTATATTCTCATTCAAACCATGTAAATCGAATAGAGACAATGAATGGAATTTATTGTCCTTTCTATTATCATTATCCAAATTAGTATATATAACTATTTTTTGAGGCTATCCAGTTCATACACTTGATCGTCTCAATTTAATCATTCCGAATTTAGTGATTTGTCAAGTATAACACATTTCTATTTTGAACACTGAACTATACTGGATAGTATTAGTTTGGGTCTTTCATTTCTCTTAAATTCTTTATTTTCATTCTTAACATCGTTACACGAAGGATTGGAACATGCTAGCTAAACCAATCTGGGTAGTAATGATGGAAAAGAGTCAATCGATGATTGGATCCTAAATCAATGACCAAAGAATGATGGTAAGGGGTTTGAAACAAACAAAGTAAGCATTGAACATACAATGATCATTGGGTGGAATGGAATGGAATGAAGTGATTTGTGTAGATTCAATGCTGGAATTACCATCTCTTGACTTAGACAAGTCTATCGAGAATGGAAGAAACATCTATGAATCAAATCAAATCAATCAAACTATACTCGAAATTGGTTTTTTCGATCGAACTCTCTTGAATGAATCAGGTAGCTTGACAATTCGAAGATTTGGAATATCTAAATACTATCAATATTCAATATTCAGAAATACTTTCCAATTTCACTACACGAGGATTATTGAAACTCCATCCTACAGAAGTTATTGATGTTAGATTTGGAAGATCTACAAAACAAATCATAACCAATCAATTCATTATTACTTCGCATTATCAATGAAGCTGAATCGTCATCATAACTTCCTTGAAGTGCACTAAATCCGAGTTGAATGGATTGTAATGATGGAAGATCTACATCAATCATTTCATTTGAATTCATTCAATACTTTCAATTATTGTTGATAAGGATAAACGGAACGTATCATCACCTAATGTAATGGATTGTAGATTTGGAAGATCTATACATTATTCAAATATTCAATATCATATCAATACCTCGAATCACAAATGAACTAAAATAGAAATTGGCTGAATCACTTCCAACTGTACCAATTTGAATGGATTGTAACTGTGGTAGATTCTTCAATTCAAAGTCTCCAGCAAAATCACTGAAACTATATTGTCCAATTTGAATGGATTCCAATGATTCACAATTTAATATGTGAAATGATTTCCATTTATCATTTCCACAATCATACTTTACCTGAGTAAATGAATTGTATCCGATTTTGATAGTTTTCAATCGATTCAATCCATCGATTTTGAATGTTTGCACTGATTCAAAACATTCATTACCGATTTCGATAGATCGTAGCCACTCGAATCGATTCAGATCCAATGCATTCAAATCGTTACAGCAATTCGATGAAATCGTCAAATCGGTCACTTGCAAACTCACATCGGTCCATTTTGTAGATCCAGTGACGATGAATCGAAGAGGAGCAGGTTCTTCGCGTATTGGAGCAGGTTTTGGAGCAGGTTTTGGAGCAGGTTTTGGAGCAGGTTTTGGAGCAGGAGCGGGTTTTGGAGCAGGAGCAGGCACGGGCATCGGAGCGGGTTTGGGTTTGGGTTTGGGTTTCGGCTTCGGCTTTGTGGATTGAGTGTACCATCCATCATAGAGATCTCTTCCACTCACTTCCACTCCATCTTTCCACTCCACTTCGCGAGTAGCAATCCGAGTTTCTTCATCGATCCAGTATCCTCGACCATTTCGAATAAACAATTCTTTCGATTCATCATAAATGAATTCACCCACATAAAGGGGAATTCGATTAGAGGCGATTGTGTTATCTCCATTTCGTTTAAACTCGATCATAATGGTCCCTTCGATTTTACGGATGATCTCCACCAATTTGTTTCCCTTCCATATTCCTTCCAACAACATTCTTCCCGATGTCTCATCGTATTGGATACCCCATCCTTCTCTCTCACGTCTCTCATTGAATTCTCCATGATACATCAATTTGTCACTGTCATGAGAATAGATTTCCATCCGTTCCCCATTCACATGGTTTACTATCCGGTTGAAATTGCGGTTATCCAATATGTCATCAAATGACTGGACAAAGGAAACACAACCATTCTCAAACCTCGTGAACTCTCCGATCTGAGCTCCGTCCGCTTCTTCTTCATATATCATCTTGAGTACTCCATTCTGGAACAAGCAGACTTTCTGATCTTTCTTCAAAAGATATTCGTCTTCGTGATCCCCTTGAAAGCATTGGAGAGTGCATTTGGAGCCACCGAAAGTGATCTCCTTTTGCTCACCAAGAGTAATGTAGCCATCCAGGAGAAACTCGCCTCCCTTAAGAGTTTGCAGTCCATCTAATTGTTATCACATATTCGCTGTTCCTACTGTTAGAATCCATGATTTGGGATGTCAATTAAAAGTATTTTGACTAACAAGCTTTCCAGTTTGTTATAGTTCGTTAACTATTTATATGATGCTTCTAACAAAGCGTTGTTATATGCAATACATATCATACATAGAAAGAGCCTGTTTATTAAACAATGTGTCCCTTTTTGTGTAGTGTCGTGGAAATAGTGGTTATTGGAAAGTAATAAGAAAATGATCGTCTTACATAGTATTTGAACGGATCATATGAATTAGTAGTGAATTTGTAGTAAAATGGCTTTTATTTGTTTCATGCCCCTATTTTTATTATATCATTTAATTCCTTATAATAATTACATATAAGTAGTAGGGAAATGACGCATAAAGCGCGAAAACCTTTTCGGCATTTTTCTGCCAATGTAGTCATTGTCTGCCCTTTATACACTGTTTGATAAAGAAAACAAAGTAAAAAAACAACATTTCCTTTACAGAGGGGCATTACAGGTCCTTCAATCGGTAATGTCCAAACGCAAGTGTGTGTACGTTGTCGTCCAAGATTTATCGCTTGTTATCCGTGCACGTCATGAGGGTCTTGGTTTGCTCCTTCGTGCTGATATCGAAGGCCTGATTGTTGATGCGTTTGAAGCTGCCTTCGATCACTGCATCTTCCTTCTTCTCTGCCTCGAGGACACGCTTGTACAAATCGATGTTCTTCACCTTCATTCTCTCACCATCGATCACCACATTGCGAGGAATTCCCTTTGCTTCATTGTGTACCACATGCTTCTCATCGACCAAACAATACATCTTCGGTCTAAGTCCCACGAACTCTGTAATGCGATGTCCGTTGTGCTCGTCCTTGAAGATGGGACCAGGCAACTTCTTGTAGAAATTGAGGAACGAGTCCAATGAAGGGAACTTGCTCTTGTCCACTTCATGCTCATAGTACTTCACGAGTTCACCATAGAAGTAGCTAGTGTTATCCAATTCCGAGAAGTCGAACGATTTGTACATGTCGCACATCTTGTGAACGATGTTAGCGCGATCGTGCAGTTGCACGATGAGTGAGTCCGTGTCCTGACCCAACAGCTCCACGTTATCGAATGTGTTCTTGAGCACATTGTAGTAGAAGTCGTAGATGACGTGCTTGGACATGTCGAGAATGGCAAACCCGATGAAGAATGGTTTCTCCACCCTGCGCACCGATGTGTTCAGCTTGATGCCGATGAGATTCTCGGAATACATGGTAGTCCCGGCGATCATGTCGTACCCATGCTTCTGAATGATGGCTTCACGTTCATTCCATGTGTTAGCGAACTTCACTTTCATCCGTTTCAGCCCAGTCTCCACGAATTTGCCATAGGTCGAGTTTGCCAACAGCTTGTACAGGTTCTTCTCCACAGTGGTCTTGGATTTGGCTCGTTTCTCACTCAGCATGTTCACATATTCGAAGATGAACGGTGCCTGCTTGAATCGAATGATGTGGTGAATGTGCGTGTCACGATATCCCTGTTGAATGCCCAGTTGCAACAGTGAGTAATGCACGAGATATTTGCGACGAGGCACAAGATCGCAGATGAGCTTCGGTGTATTCACCTCTTTCACTTTGTCCACAATGACGTTCTTCTCAGCGTACTTCTTGATTCCATCGGAGTACATGCCTGCCTTCTGTACGGGAAAGAATGGCAAGTCATTGCACTTGTCTTGCAGTTCCACTGGTGCCTCGATGTCACACTCGATGAAGAATCCATACTTACCGAACGTCTTGAGTGATTGAACCCACCCATTCGGGTCACGATTGATTTTCTCCATCACTTCTCGTCGTTCAGGTACACCCACCAATTCATAAGGCATCATTCGATGCATGGCTCCACCGTACAGGTTGTTGGCGTCCAGGTAGTAGATACCTTGGGACGACGTTGCTTGCTCCTTGTTGTCATGGTTGTCAATGTTGACCTTGGCATGTCGTTTCACGATCTGTGTGATACCTCCTCGCAGGTTCTTCAACAATCGCATGAAGTCATCGATATCATTTGTCTCCATCAATCGAATGCCCTTGCTCTCATAGAATTCACCCATGCGACTCAAGAACACTTTCACCAGTTGTTTCTCGGCGAGTCCCTCATTCGCGTTAATGCGCATGATGTACTGAGCCCATTTCCTTGCGAGGGTCATGAGGCTACTCTCACTATGATCGCCCTCCATTGTCACCTTCAAGAAGAGCGAATATGCCATTTGTGGTGCTGTGATGTAATGCATTGGATCAACACCGAATGCATTCAGTGTGGTGTTTCGGAAGTGTTCGAATGCATCAGCCATGAGAGTCACATCGAGTACATTGTACAATTCGTAGTATTCACCCCATGTCTTGATATCGAAGGTCTTCCACAGCTTCACCATGTGATCATATTCGTCTTGTGGCATCATCTCTCCCTTCATATCATCAATGCATTGCTCGCGAGAAGGAATGGCTGTATTGTTCATTGTCTCGTATGATTTGATGAGACTGTAGAACATGGGTTCTTTCCGAGTCAACAAATCGATGTACTCGTCACTCCATTGCTTGCCTCGAGACTCGCAGTACTTGCGTAGTTGTTGTTTGGTGTGCACATAGAGGTCCAAGTTGCCTCCAAGTGTCTGTGCAACGATGGAACGCAGTGAACTGCTGATGAGCTTCAACGAGTCCTTGAATTGAATACCATTGTACTCAATCTGCATTTCCTTGTCTTCAGTGGTTGGAATGACTTCGAGATTCCCACCAGGCATCGTCGCGATGAGCTTCATGATGAATGTGAAATCATAGTGCGATCCATTGTGGAAGTAAACTGGCAATCGATAGTTCTTCTTGTTGAATGAGAGTTGTAGGTTACACTTGGTGCAACAGGTGCAGATGTACTGTCCGGCTTCGAAATGGCGTACTTCTCCCTTTCCTGTGGTGTATTCACCTGCCACATGTGCATGATGACGTACCTTGTCGTCCTCCAGTTTCTTGTGGCAGAAGGGACACACGGTTGTTGAACGAAAGTCCTTCTCGACCTTCGATGTGCTCTCCAATGGCAATTCATCGAATAGATATGTTTTCACACTCCCTTGCAATTGCACGAGATAGTCCATGAAAGGACAAAGATCTTCTTCGCTTTCGTGTGGTGCATGGAAGACTCGTAGCTGCGTATCAATGGCAGGGATGCGTGACACGGCTAGACAGGATAACATGATCGGCTTGTGTCTGTTCTTGTCTTTAATGGCCGACTCGAAGTCAGCGTACACGACGACCGGTGCTGGCATTTCGTATCTCTGGTTGGTGAATCGCAACCGAGTTTCCTCGTTCGCCAAGTCGTACTCTTCGCTTTCATTGACGAGTTCACGATGTACTTGTACTTCGTGAGCATGAACGGCTTTGCGAGAGCCGAAGAAGTCGTCACAAAACCTGCACTTCACGTTTCTTGCTGTATGTCTATTCTTCACATCACTCTGACGAAAGATGCGATGTTTGAAATCATTCAAGTCCTTGATGTACAAGAAATGCTTGGGAATTTCTTCCCCCTCCCGTGTATCATTCACGATGCAAAGCGACACACATGGGGCAACTTCGTTGCCCCGGGAGCAACTTCGTTGCTCCCCACATCCACCCTTCCTTTTCGGCTTGTACACTTGATAACACGTGAATAGATCGTATTTATCCTCGGAGTTGTCATCGTATCCAGGCAAGAGTGTGACCTCGAATACGTTGAGAGAGACTTTCAACAGTTCTTCCAATCTCGCAAAATTCTCTTCACTCGCGTTGAAGGGCGCATTGTCGCGAATGTTCATCGCCTCCTCCACCTCGTGAATGGTCACTCCGAATACCTTGTTCTTGTCGGGTTGCTTCCACCACTTGTTGTACACACTCGCATCGCCCATCTTGCGATTTGCAATAATCTTGTGCCCGCCTTCACTTGCCAGAATGAGACACCGTTGCAGACACCGGTTGTCATTGATATTCGGGTTGACCGCCGTCTGTCCAATGATAAAAGGTGTGTGGTGCTTGTAGCCCACGAATGTCCGTAGTGGGAACATCTCAACATGGAAGCCGATCCACCCATGGTACGCGAACCCACTTCCCTCTGTCTCTTGTTCCTCTACACCATTTCGGTACCACTTCAGGTAGTCCTTGATCCACTCATCGATACGATCTCGGCGAACGATGCGGAGGTGTCCCAATCGATCATCGGTGAGGTTGAGTATCTTGGGATCTCCGTCATGTGTCAACATGAGGTTGTATGCCATGATGGTGACGAAACACTGGTTGTACTCGCGCATACCAGTCATGATAAACTTCTTCACGATCTCATTGAACTCCTCGCTTTCATCGAATACGAGGTTGATTGGTTCTACTTCCTCCTCCCTCTTTCCATCCGGTAGTCGAACCCACAGTCTATTATCATCATAGTTATTGAGTCGGAAGTCCTTCTTGGTGCGCTTCTCATTCATCCATTCCTTGTACATGTCTCCTTCCACGGTGTGATAGTACGTGAGTGCATACCCGAGTGACGAGTTGATCACATCCGACAAGCGTCCTTCGGCCACTTTGCGATCGAACCGAGCGAAGAACTTGTTGTGACGTGCTTCACGTCTCTTCTCCACCG